GTGGAAATGTGAAGCACGTGTTCCTCTGAGGAGAAGAAAGCCAGCAATGTGAAATGCTACATGGAAGTCACTGGTTATTTTCCTTGTCTTGGGTGTTGCCTCTAAATTCTTAAAATAAAATAAAGTAAATAAACTAACTGCTTTTAGAAAAAACAAACCATCTCCCCCGTGGGTGGAGACACTGATCACTGTCACTGCAGGAGGGAACAATAGAGTGGGATGCCCAGAAGAAGGAATGACTTGAGGACAATGTCCTGAAGGGTCCCTTACCCTTGCAGAGCTTTCCTAGCTCCGACACTCACATTTCCGCGTCGGATGGGTTCGCCCACAGAAATAAAAGTCTGCACCTCTTCCACGTGCCTTTGGACCAACGGCAAAAACCAGCTACAATTCAAGGGACTTTTAAAACTGCCTCTGAAACTGAGTTAACAAAATAAATGAACAACCGGAAAAGACACTTGGCAAGTGAACAGGGATGAATGGACGTCTTTGCAAAGCAGGTGTGCGGTTTCTTACGGGAAAAGCCACCAGCTGTCTGGAAGGGAAGAGCAGCTAGATTTCCTCGCCCCGGGGAAATGAAATCCCCAAACAGAGAATGGCTGTGGCTGTGATGATGCTGACGACTGGGGCTTGCTCACCTGTGGCTCCCCCTCCCCGCGCTGTGCAGGCACCAGGCAGATCTGAGTCTGCAAGCAGGCGCCCTGCCTCAGGGGCAGCTCCCACTGGGCATGGGGGCCAATGGGCTGGGGGGGAGGGGGAAGGCAAAGGGGGAGTGTGACGAAGTGGGGGAGTTTCCTGTTTTTCCTTGTTTCCTGTGGGGGATTTTCTTGGTTTTGTCAATGGGTTGCATGCAGAGGGGGTGGGACTCAGTTTCCCTCGGTGCTACGGGTTTAAGGAGGTGATGGGAGAGGGAGTTTGTTGTTACAGAGGACCAGGGAGGGAACTTGGGACCCCAACCACTGGCGTGGAGAATGGAGACCCCAGCGACTGGTGATCGTTGACTGGTGACCCGGAGGCCCAGCTCAGGAGGCCCAGCCGGGTCTGGCCAGCGGGACGACAATGGGCTGCGAAGAGAGGAGAGGGGGCCCAGGTGACTCTGTTTACCTGGAGAGGAGACAATGGATGGGGGGGAGGGGCTTGGGGCCGGTGAGATCAGATGCCCAGCTGGGAAGCAGGGGGGCTCGGAGCTGAAGAGAGGGAGCAGGCAGGTCCCCCCTGGATGCAGGGGAGACTGGGATGTGCTGGGCTGAGGGAGGCCAGGCCTGAGGCCCTGAGAGTGTCCTGTGCTGGGTTCAGACAGTCAATAAACCCTCCTGTTTTACGCTGGCGGAGAGTCACTCCGGTCTAGAGAACAGTGGGGCATCATCCCCTTCGGGGGGTGGAGGCCCCGGGGGTCCAGAGCGAGGGGACTCCCTGAGGGGGCCCACGGCAGAGACAGGGGTGCTGAGGCTCAGAGCGGTGCAGCTCCAGAAGATGGAGGGGCTTAACCCCGAGAGAGAGTGGACCCCCGGGAGAAGGGCTGTCTCACTGAATGGGGCACCCCCCACGGACCGCACGGGGCCAAGAATGGGCACGATCTGTGAGTCCGTGACAGTGAGATGGTAGGGAGCAGGGGGGAGGGGAGCTGTCTCTGGAGGCACAAAGGGGGGGGCTCTCTGGAGAGGAGTGACGGGGGCACAGGGGTCGGTGGGGGTTTCCCGGGGGGGGCAGAGGGTTGTGTGGGTCTCTGTGGGGCGGGGGGGAGTGATGGATGGAGCTAGCTGCAGCCCAGATCTGCTCTGTGGTGGGGGGAGTTGCTATAGCCCCCCGCAGGAAGCCCCCTCTGTAGTCGGTATTTAATGCCAACCCCAGGGTGCCCATCGCTGCTCCCCCGGCCTCCATCTGTCTGTCCCAACCCCCACCCCGTCTGTGTCTGTCTGACAGTGACCGACACCTGCTGCTCCGCGGGCTGAGGGGCTGCCTGCGGCTCCCCCCCCACCGTGCCCGACTCCGGGGGCGGGGCCCGGCAGCTCTGGCCCCGCCCCCCGCAGCTCCCACTGGCCGCGGTTCCCGGCCTTGGTTCCCCATGGGCTGGAAGCCGGGTCAGCGCCGTGGGCGTGGAGCCGCCCCGTGGGAAAATGTCACTGGTCCACAGAGCTCAAGGTGTTTCCCACGGACACATGGCCGCCCCGTGAGGGTGGGGGCAGGGAGTGGGGAGGGCGGGGGGTGGTGGGGAAGGGGGCAGGCAGCAGGGTAAGTAACCAAGCCAGGCAGGGGGACGACGCGCTGAGCGAGGGATGGTGGGGGACAGCCAAGGGGGAGGGATAGGCGGGTAGTGGGGAGGGGAGAGACGGAGGGAGCAAAAGGCAAATGGAATTAAAGCAGCTGGAGATCAATGCAGGAGAAGCAGCAGAGCAAAGAACCACAGAAGCAGAGATGCCGGACAAGAGGCTGCGCACCAGAACGCCCTGGAACTGAGACCGATAGAGGCTGATAAGGAAATCGAGGCCCAGAAGCTCGCCATGGAGCAGAAGGAAAGAGAGAGGAAGCATGAACTGGACTTGATAGAGGGGCGGAACCAGCGCCCCATAGAGACACACCACGGGGTCCCACCGCTCCAAAAAGCCACCAATGGGAGCGGTTGTGTCCTGCATACAGCGAGACAGGGGACATTGCTGAATATTTCATCACCTTGAGAGGCTGTATGTGCTCCATGAGATTCCTGAAGACCAAAAGATGCCCATGTTGGTTGCAAAGTTGTCTGGGAAAGCTCTGGACAGATTCAGTAAGATGCCTATTGGTGATGCTGCAGATTATGGTAAATTCAAGGAAATGGTTTTAAAACACTTTCACACTTGAAGCAGATTGAGTAAAATTCAGAAGCCTAAAAAGAGGGGCTGGAATGAGTAATGTGGCCTGTGGAAGCAGATGAGAGATGTGATGGGCAAGGGGGAAAAGGTGTTAGAAGTGCTGCAGAAATGGCTGATCATGTTGCTCAGGAGCATTTCCTGAGTGTGTGTAATGACGATGTAAAACAGCGTTTATGGGATAAAAAGGTGAAAACTGTCGATGAACTGGCTACTCTAGCTGACCAGTTTGAGCAATCCCAAGCATCTATTAGAAATAAATCACAGGCGGAGGGGGTTAAGTTTGGTAAACTTGTTTTTGTTTTCTCTAAACCCAGGGTGTGAAAATCATAACCGGGGGCAGAAGGCTGTGCATATTCCTCTCCACACTGAGGGAGGGGGTGAATTTCATGAGCTTATGCTGTACCCATCTCTGTGCAGTGCAAGACGGTATAATTTGGGGTTTATCCTCTAGAGGGGGGTGTGCACTTGAGTACCGGGCAGTTCCTTAGCTGAGCCTTCCCATGCAGAGCTGATCTCAGCATCTGTGTGAAGCTGCAGCTGGGGGTGTCCCTACCTGTGTGTGTGCTGGTAACGTGCAGGCTGAAGCCAGGGGGGCTTGGCAGGCTGCAGAGCAGTACGGTGTAAAGGGAGCCCTCGCTGGTGAGTCAGGTGGGCTCAGTGGTGCCCTACTTCCAAGTGGCACCATGGGGCGGGGGGGAACCATCACAGGGGTCTCCCAGCAGGTGCCAGTGAAGGGGTGCAAGGAAGCGCTGGGTTGGGGGCTCAGTGCCGTGTTTGGGGTGGGGGGATCTGCCTTTCGCGTCACAGTGACCCCAGCCTGGGGGACGTCACCGCAGCACCCAGACAGGCCAGCATCTCTCTGCAGCCGCTCGCCCTGCGGGGTTCAGTCCCGGGGGACCCTGGCCCATGAGTCCTGCCCTTCTGCAGGGCTCCCGGCCATGGGACGATCTCAAAGCTCTTCAGGGACCATCCCTCAGCCCCAGAGCCCCCACCACCACGGCAGGAGGAGACTGGCCATATATCACACAAGGGGAAACAGGCATAGGGTGCATCACAACTCGCAGCAAGTCCGTGTCAGCAACGGGAATCGACCCCCCGAATCCTGACTCCCAGTTCTCCCCCACTAGCCCCCACTCCCCGCCCAGAGCCGGGACAGAACCCAGGAGTCCTGGCCCCTTCCTTAGCCCTTCTACTGAACGCCCTTAACTCCCGCTATAACCCAGGGCCCCTGGACCAACTGCGGCTGGGCTGGGCTAACACAGGCTGCCGCAGACATGGCCCAGACTGACCAGATTTAAAATCATGATAAAAAACGTCCCCAAAACCCATTTTATGGCTGTTCGCAAAGCTGCAGGGCGAGATCGGGGGCAGCCAGGCTGTGGACACACACGGGGCGGGGACTATACGGGGACTGGGCCCTTCCCACACCGACCCCGCGCTGGGCCCTTGGACCCGGGGGAGCCGCACACGGGTGCCATGGGGCCTTTAGCCGGGCACTGGGCCTGCCCCACCCCCAGCCATGGGCCTGATCCCATCCCACAGGGACCCCATTGACCGGGAATGGCCAAATCTGCTGCCCCCTGACGAGGGGCGATCCCCATTCCCAGCCCCATGGGGCAGCAGCCCTCTCCCTGGATAGGTGCCCCCTCCCAAGCCCAGCAGCGGGGTGGGTGAGGGAAGTCCGAGGGGCCGGCTCCCCGGTGAGTCTCTAGCGGGTTGGCTTGTCCCGGTTACGGGGTCGGGGTACAGCAGCTGGCACCAACGGGCACGGAGCAGGGACGCTTGGGACAGCGGGGGGGCAGTACGAGTGGGTCTCACGAAGGCACCTGGGGGATTCAGGGGCCCGGCTCCTCCCCGCGTTTATCTGAAAGGCAAAGAGGGTCAGTTACCAGGAGCTCTGGGCCCCAACACGAAGCTGGCAGGGATCGGGGCCACTTCCCAGCACTGCCTGGGAGTTTCCCTGTGACACAGGGGGTGCTGGCTGGGAGGAGCACAGCGGGTGCGGGGAGTCTCCCCAGTGGGTGCTGGATGGGCTATGGGGCTGTGGCTGGCTGGGGGACACACAACAGGTGGGGGTCTCCCCGGGGAGTGCTGTGTGGGCCCAGGGGCTGCGGGTGCAGCGGGTGCCCTCCCCGGGCAGCGGCTACTCACAAGGGGCCCCGCGGGTTGCGGGCGGCGTTCATCTTCATGCCCTTGATGATGAGGATGGTGCCCACGATGATGCCGATGATGCCCACGGCCAGGCCCAGGGCGCACATCAGGGTCTCGGTGGTCTCGGGGACGGGGGTGGGCACCTGGACTTCTGGAGAAAGGGGGAGAGGGACAGGGCACGGAGTGAGGGGGGCTGTTCCCAATCTTCCCTCCCAGAGCTGGGATAGAACCAGGTGTCCTGGCTCCCAGCCCCCCTGCTCTGACCCACTAGACACTGCTCCCCTACCAGAGCTGGGATAGAACCCAGGTGTCTGAGCACCCAGTTTTGCCCCCGCTCTGACCCACTAGTCCCCACTCCTATCCCAGAGCCAGGATAGAACCCAGGCATCCTGGCTCCCAGCCCTGTGCCCAGCGGGGTCCCCGGGCACCCCAGCCTTACCCCAGTGCTTCGTGAAGGGCTCGGGCAGCCCCCAGTGCTCCACCCGGCAGTCGTAGAAGTCGCCCTGGCTGGGGAGGAAGGGCAGGTAGGAGAACTTGCGGAAGGAGTTGTCCTGGCGGGGGTAGAAGTCGGTCTCCGAGACGCCCCCCTTCACCTCCTGCCCGTTCTTCAGCCACGTCATGCTGAGCACGGGTGGGGAGAACTTGTCCACAAAGCAGATCAGGACGTTGGGCTCGCCCAGCTCCACGGGGTCTTCGGGGAACACAGTCACCTCAGGGGGCACTGGGGAGACAGGGGTGAGTGGGTCCCATTGCCTGCCCCTGAGCCAGCCAGTCCCAGCCCTGGGACCAGATTGGAGCCAGCACCCCTGTCATAAATATCAAGGGAAGGGTAAAC